ACGGCGCAGTGCGTCATCATTACGGCGCCGGGCGCGACAGTTGTGCGGTGCCAATTACGAGCGGGGGGTGGCACACGTTCCGAGCCGCTTTGCCACCGGTTCGGCGTCGTTTTCATTCGCTCTTGTTAGACGCGCGTGGCCGGTAACAAGCGTCGACGCCTGCGGGGCTGTCGGCCGTCCCCGGGGAGGATATTTAGCCGCCGAGCCGAGCCGCAGGGCCCATGGGAGCGACTAGAACACGGGTCCCGGCCACGGGGCGCGGAGGGGGACCGGGGAGCGATACGGCCCGGCGGACGGCGCGGATGGTGACAGCTGGGCCGCTGCCGCCGCTGCGGGATACAGGATCAGGTGGGGACCCGTCATGCCGTGTGAGACGTGGCTCATGATCTTCCTAGTTAGAGGACAGTTACCGCTGTTAGGAGTTGGTTGAGGATGCTGTCCTTTCTTAGGCGGCCGGAGGCCAGAGTAGAGAAAACTCCTATCCTGACCATCAAAATCACTGCCTGTGATTGGCATTGGTCATATAAAGCGCTCTCATTAAGTGTGACCGTTTCTCTCCTTTCAAAGGCTAGAATCTTTCCCTAACGTGGCACTGCCAAGTGCTTATTCACCCTATCAGCATCACTCAGTGCTGCTACTTGCTGGAACTGCTTTCGGCCCAAATACGGGACCATGCAATACTTGTGGTAAATGCACTGGATAAAACGACTGCAGAGGCCCAGCACGCAAGTGAAAGAGTACATGCTTCAAAGATGCTAAACGCATACAACTTTGTTGCATACTGGGTAGGACATGCTGCATTTGAATCGATGAGTCATACCGTTCACAGGTCTCACCATCCTGCACCCCGCCCCCTCGTCCCCTCGCCCCTGGTCTATTCATCCCCCGATCGCCCAACAGTTTGGTCTCATTTCACGGATAATGGTTTTCACAATGTCACACATGGTGCCTAATGTGACCCCCACCAGTCCCCCTGAATATATGGTAATGGCGCTCATTCTCCCCACAACGAGGCCTAATGACCCTTAACGCATTTAAAGGGCAGGACAAAAGACACATCAAAATGTTCGCTATGCGTCCGTATGGCAGGATTGACCACATGCTTGTGGCAGCCCTTTCTCACTACCTTTATTGCCTGAATTTTGCTCCTAAAATGAGAAGGGCAGTCTTTAGCTTGGCTCCGATGTTATCAGTGGATCGGTACTTTTTACCAGGCCTGGTTGACTCTGCCGACGCACACAAATAAAATACCTGCGACAGATAATTTCAATCCTATTACCGATAACACTGTATATGTTATCATTCATTCGCTGATTAATTCAATTATTGTCCCCTGAATGAGAACTGAACAATAAACGTGTTATGATGTAACATTTTCATTTTATTCCGGTATGAATCCTGGAAAACAGTGTTATCATCTTCAAGTAGCGTAAATACCAGACAAAATTTTAACAACCAAAACTCCGCGACATAATTCATTTTTCCAACGAAACCCAGAAAAATAGTAATAGTCGGACCCGGGAACCGCCGGTAGCGGAAGACGCGTGTTGCGGTGCGCCAACCGGGCAATTAGGGCGCCAATGCGTTGGTCGCGGAGGTAACACTATCAGGGCATGGGCCGTGTAGCTGTCATGGCTGCTGTCCGGAGAGGCGAGTTCCGGCACCTCAGTGGCACATGTGGAGCCAGAGACACGCTCCTGGGGAGGTTGGTGTGACATCGGCTCTTACAACTGTCTGCGAGAGGTGTTACTGTCACTCAGCGTGGCTAAAAATGCACCTCAGAGACTGTTTTTGAGAATAGACATTAAGAACGCCGAGATTATCGCGCTAATGAGAATGAAGAAAAATGTTAGAAGTTTGTATTTGTGGTACACACAAAAAGGTTCTACAAGGACTTAGTTCAAACGCCGGAGAAACGAGAAACAACTTTCCGTGTGTGATGAGCCGCGCCTTCAGAGGAAACACACAGCATTTTGCGCGAAGAATCCACCTCTGGTGTGGACGCCCGCTTACGACACCGCCTGAGGCAGTCCCACGGGGCTAGTGCTGAGCTCTGCATAATTGGCCGCACTGCAGAAGGTGGAGAGCGGCGAGTGGCGGGTGAACCTGACCAGTGGACCACTGGCTAGGAACGAGTGGCGGGATCACCGCTGGCCTCTGTGGCCCGACACCATGATGTCGCCGATACATATCCCCGACATCCCTAACAGTTCGCTGTCGACCTGATCATCTGATCTCGATTCCTGACAATTGACATTCTGTCATCACCTGGTGTGGCGCAGCTCACATCGAATATGAGATTGAAAATATAGTAATGAAAGTTTCAGGCGGGAGGCAGTTTTTATATTTTCTCGCTGTCACATAGACTCACTCGGCATAGTCTAACGTCGTTTGGCACGTTCCAAACGAGTGGAACAATGCATAATAAATCATGCACAGTTGCACAAACAACAATGCTTAAAATATTCCCACACACGGACACACAAACCCACGTAACGTCAACGCAACAACGCAAATACGTAATGAAAGTTGTGGGTGAAAAATGGCATACCTACAGCTCGTCACACACATTGAATAGGATTTGTTTAGTGTTAGTACTTGTTTCACACCTTCTGGAAACTGGCTGTAGCGCGCACCTAAAGCTGCAGCAGCAGATGACACTTATTCGTGATAGTCTGACAAACATTGAGACCACCAGCGCTGCCTTCAGCCCTCACTCCCTCTACTGATCTGCCTCCGCTTTAATCGACCGTGACCCCTACCATCACGTGACCTTACCCAGAAGCCAACCGGCAATCACGTGACCCGATATGCGTGCGGCCCTCGCACGCCACCCACGCACTTGTCCAGGGATGAAATACAACACGGTGTTTGCGTTAGCCACCCAATCGCTCTGTGCCCGTCTCCGCTGCCAGAGGACTGCGACAGTGGCGGTAGCGGGGAGTCGTCTCACTAAGGGAGGGGCGAAAGGCAGGGGAGTCCAGTGGCCACAGCACACGAGTCTCGAGTGTCATCGGTTCGGATGATGTCGGTCGAACCGGTGGAACGGGGTTAAGATGAGTTTTTAACTTAACTTTCTTTAACATCGCCAAACACATAAGAACGCTCGCGAGAGAAGGTGTAGGTATAAGAACAAATTTCAGTTTAGAATGGCCAAACTTTTTTCTTATTCATGAGGAGGGAGGCATCATCATATTTGTGTATGTTTGTGCGCACCGCTCTTACATGGTTATTTGAAGCATGGACGGTAAAAGATGTCAAATCTATTTTGTGTTCTTAACGTTGGTGCATTCAAAATATATGCTAGTACTAAGCTTTCTTTATGGATGAAGATAAGAGAGTGGTTTTATACACTTGCTGGAGTGGAAAGTGACTGGAGACATGGTACCCCGAAGATCATTGCACAATATGTGTTCGTAAGTGCTGCATGTAAAAAAAAAAATGCTGACAGCATAATGGTGAGCAGCATCCTCAACACTGCTGTTTACAATATAAGATAATGAATTAAACATACAATAAACAAAATCCAAGCTGTTGATGCGCTTCCACAGCCGGAAACGGAAACCCTTCCTCCAACCGGCCACCGCCATTCCTCGCAGCCAATCTGCCTGAGATGTAGACTGTGCCGCGCGACACACCGGTGTGGCGGTACAGTCTACCCACGCAGGCATCACCTGGAAACTCGCACAGCGGGCTGCTGGAGCCGGGCTGGGCGGCGCCGAGCAACTGCTACCGGCATGGTGGCGAGTCAGTATCCTTCGAATTATCATAAAGAGGCGATTTCATGTCCTTTGTAGTTAAAGTCAAGCTCAAAACATTTTATTGAAGCTGTTTTGTGTTAATTGTATGCAATAAAACGGCATAATTTCATCTATTCCCTGCGCTGCAAGACGGTCCAATGTCCCAAAGGATTTTGGATCTGCTAATGCGTACCGCCGTTTCTAGTGTGGACAGACTTGGTTAGGTATGCATCGCATTTCTGCGATGCATAGTGTGCGCATTAGCATTAGCTCCATTTTCGCCATAAGCAGTCAGCACTCGCCACTCCGCCATCCAACTCTGCTCCGGCGGCGACCCGCACTCCGCAGTCTATAACCAAGCTTAAATCCAGACCTCGAAGCGGCTAACGCGTCCCTGGGCCGCCATTCACTTACATGTGAGATGGAACCGCACTGGCTCGGCCCATCTGAGGCGCGCCGAATCGTGCCAAAGAGGCCGGCGGCCACCGCCGGCCGACCGCCATCACTCCAGTAAGTGGCCGCGCGGCTATACGGGCGCGGATCATCGCCGACCTCAGCGGCACACTATGAATAGTTGAATAGCGGTTATACGTGACCGACGCGGATCATTGTGGCTTCTGATGAACTGACGCGCCTCTCGTTTTTCCTTATTAGGAGCGGTGACTAGGGAGGTTATGAAATGATGGCGTCGTTAACTTCTAAGCAAGCTGGTGATTGTGGTGGTTGCCCTCCTTTAGGACGGGCATTCCAGGTTTAACAAGTTGGATATTATATGATATTCATCTAATGGTGTTCTAGAAGATAATAGCTACGCTTACTTTCCATTAACACTCACTGTTTTTCTATCCAGTATTTCGATTTGGTTTTCATTGCCTGATTGGCCTGCCATCTCGCCCTGACACCTCCAAACGCGCCGCAATAACATCGCTCTTTGTTTTCCCACACATCACTGCCGTCTCGGCGCCACCCGGAGCAAATGACCGTGGGGCAAACGGCGTGTGGGCCAAGCCGACGATAACCAGCCCCGGGCAATTTCGACGCCCATACTTTATTCAACGCTCCCGACGAAACCGCTCTTCAGCCAATTTAATCCGAGATTGGAGTGTATCTTTTCACAGCTTCTGACGGCGGCGCTTGTCGCGGTCGGCGGCAATTGTGCCCGCTCCGTGTTACATATAATTGGCCAATTTTCTGCCCACTCTGCTCTCCACACATGTCGGCACCACGCCAGCCAATCAGCGACGGTCGTCGGCTGCGGCGACCAACCAGCGCGCCGTGCCGCGCTAAGCCCCGCCCCGTGAAGATGGAGCGCCGACGGAGGGTGGCGGCGCTCCTGGAGATTTTATCGCAGTAATTGGCGGACGTTTACACCGATTAGGTGGCAGTCAGGTGCCCAGCGCTGCCGGAAAGCTCGTTCAGTGTCCCGGGTGACGCGGTCGCTGGCTGAGACAGCTCGAACTCCACACAAACACCGCCTTTCCGCCCGAGAGACTCGGTCACGGAGCGGCTCGCCGCGGCAAAACATGAGTAGCGATCGAGAGGAGCCCGCGGCGGCGGCGGCGGCAGCAGCGGCAGAGGCGGCGGCGGAGGCGGCGGCAGCAGAGGAGGCGCCGTCCGAGCGAGCCAGCCCTCCTCCAGCGGCCTCCCCGATCGACCTCAGCCGGGTGCCGCCGGAGCCTCCCAGCGGCCTGGAGGAGACGCAGCGTCTGCTGGCGGCCCGTCTGGAGGAGCACAGGCAGCGGCTGGCGGCGCCCGCCGGCGACACAGCCTTCCTGACCGCCTTCCCCGCGCACAACAACAACAGCAAGACGTCGTTCTACATCCGCGACATCCTGGACGGCAGCAAGTTCACCGGCCGGAGGGATTACCTGGACACCAGCAGTCCAGAGCTGAGCGACACGCAGTCCACAGGTGAGCGGTGGGCTATAGGGTGGACACAGGCTCCGGACTGAGCTAATAACACGGCTAGAAACTATTGATCTGTTCGGGATACGGCGTGCGTGATCTAAAATTTAATGGGATGTGTTTTACATGTCTGTTTAGATGTCATTCAACCTCAATTATAGAATCAAAAATCTCACTATTGAAGCGTCATTGGGAGCAGATCAAACGTAAAACGAGCGGGTCACTTCGGATAAAAAAGAAGAAGCAAAGCTTAACCCGCGCCCCACTGGGGTCTGCGTATAACACGCCCTACTGGGGGGGGGGGGGCTATTCATAGCCCCCCCTCCTAACTCCGAAACTACTGGGCCGATCGTCAAAATTCAAACGGCGTCTGATAGCCCCGGAAAAACTGTCGAGCGAAACCTAATTTCATTGACCTCGAGGTCACTGATGACGTCACAGGTCAGGTCAAAGTAAAAATTATTAGCATTTTGGCTTGTTCACGTTTTGGGCTCTGGCCGCCGTCTTACAAGTCAGATCAGGCTCATTTTTGGATCACACACTCGGGAACAGATGCTCTTGTTACCCTGAGGGTACCAAACTTGTACTTTGATTTTAAGGTCAAGGTCAGGTCATCACAGGTCACGAAAATACTATATCATGCGTCGGTCACGTGACACATGTGTTATGGTCCATTTAGGTCAGAGATTTCGAATGTGATGTCGTCTGTGTCATTCAAGGTCATTTTGAGTCGAATTTAGCTTAGGTCAGGTCACTTTCAGGTCAAAAAAGGTCAAATTTTGAAGTTTAAATTTTTCAACAAAAAAGGTGTCTATTGGATGCAGTTTGAGCTCAGAAACACGATGGTGCTATTTATATTGGCGTACGATGTCAAATACGTGCTGAAAAATTGATTTGAAAAATTAATAATTGTGAATTTTTTGCAATAATGCGTAAAACTTGGCCATTTTTGAAGATATTTAGCTAAAACTTGCTAGAGTTAGTCATAATAATGGGTTCTAATTCATATATTCCGGTTTTTTTCGAAAAGTCAAAAACTTTTTAAAAAAAAATGTAAAAATGTAAATTTTGAATTTTATTTTATAAAATTTTCGAAATTTTCAAAAATTTGAAAATCCGAGATAGCAGTTTGATAGCGCAGTCTATTCTGAGTCTTTCCATGCAAAGAAATGGGATCTAGCTTAAAAACTGAGCCCTTGGGAGCGATTGCCGTGGTTCAATGTTTTGCGTCGAAATCGGCCGAACATGACGTCACTCTGACGTCATTTCCGGCCGACCTATGGTAGCTACGAAGTTCAAATTTTGTCACAAGGTGTCAAATTGATGCAGCCTAAGGTACTGAAAGTTTGGCGTCGATACGTCAAGCGGTTTTGAAGTTATTGCCGAAAAACGGGAGGGGGGGCTATAAATAGCCCCCCCCCAGTGGGGCGCGGGTTAAAGTTAAACATGCTGAGCTTTAACCTGAACCCGAATTTAATCAATATCAGCATATCAGTCAGGCTTAAAATGAGTGTACCTATGCTATTATAGTTTTTGTCTAAAAGTCGTTATAAGGAAGCTCTCGATGATACAAAAATGTTGGTGTTGTTTTTAGTAAATATCCAACAATGTCACGCAATGTTACCCACAAATTCATAACTGGGAATAAGCAATAGCAGAAAGTTTAGCATGTCGTGCGCCAAGTTCATTTAATTAACACTTCGCTACCCAGTAAGTGGGATTACGTTTTGTCTTTAAATAGAAAGGTATTTTTGGTATGTTCGTAATGCCTACCCAGTACCCGTAGACGTCAGCAACAGAGGTGCTCGGAATAGCTTTGATCCACTCAGTGAACTTGCGTGTTTAGGAAGACATATTTACTACTCGGCTAAGATCAGTATTCAGTATCTAAGCCACATGTGGCGCTTATATTTCAACATTGATCAACATTCATCTCTAGCCAAAAACACATTACCAGTTCTCATATAATTTCGACGGACACGCTAGCCAAATAACGTAACGCTTATTGAATGCAACGTCGCCTAGCTGATCAAATATCACTAAATGTGAGCGATGGTGATGCATTGGGCGTTCTTTCGTGGCCTGGCGCTTCAGTGAAAGTGCAAAACTGCTGCGTTCGGAAGCAGTATGAGCAGGTTTGCAAAAATAAAACAACTCCCGGTCGAAAGATGTGGAAAGCTGGTGCTGTTACGACACTGGCTGATTTATGATTATGATTGGACAATCCATATTGACTAGTGCATTGTGGCACAACAATGACAAAATTTCACTTCTACCCTCATACATTGCTGAGCTTTTTACATACCTACTTGTTCTATAATTACAACAGTGAACTGGACATTTACTTTCATTACGAGCACCGTGTCAAGAAAAGAAAGTGAACTCGATTTGTTGTAGAAATACCGTACTGCTCTGAATTCACGTTTACATCAATCAACACGACCACTAACACCTTCCCTTCGTTCGGCAGACACCCTGTGCGACGCGTCGCTGGCGGACGGCGACGGAGACGCCGAGGCCGACGACACCAACGGTGAGGAGCGGCCGTCCAAGAAGAAGTGCTCCTCCGACTCCAAGGGCGGCAAGCCGCGACGGGCGCGCACTGCCTTCACCTACGAGCAGCTGGTCTCGCTGGAGAACAAGTTCAAACAGACCCGCTACCTGTCCGTCTGCGAGCGGCTCAACCTGGCGCTGTCACTGAACCTCACCGAGACCCAGGTGAAGATCTGGTTCCAGAACCGGCGCACCAAGTGGAAGAAGCAGAACCCGGGTGTGGACGTCAACAGTCCGACGGCCGGCGCGACGCCCTCTTTCTCGCCCTTCTCGGCGCCCTCACTGCTCTACCCGAGTGGCGCCCCGCTCCACTCGTTCCCCGGCCTGGGTCTGCCCTGTGTGCTTCCCCACGGCCTCGCGGTGCACCCCTTCTATTCGCACATCAACCGCTGACTGGACGGGCCGCGCGGCGGTGAGTCAGGGCGGCGCGACGGTGAGTCGCAGAGGCACTCACTCGAGTCAGACTCTCCCTGACTCGAGCGGCTCGAGTATCAGGCTCGGTTCCTACAAGACGGTCAGATTCGAGAGCTGAGGACGTACCGCAGGAGCGGAGTGGACTAGTGCGAGAGTTGAGGCTGGACTCTGTCTCTGATGTTGTTTCGTGTTGATTGGCGGAGGTTCATGCTCTCGGGGTTGTCGGCGGCTGCACGTATGCGAAAATGTCACTTGCGGCCGATTATCCAGCCCAGCACATAGTCGAGTCCCGCTAAATCTATTTCAGAACAAAACATCTAATCTAAGAAAGGATGACACAAATATCGCCTAAGAGGTTAAACTCGTGACCGACCTGACCTCAGATTGTTGGTTCGGTGCTGCCGATTTAAGCGCTCCAGCGCTTGTTCCTGTTTGGAAAGTGGGTGTCGTGCCATCCAGTCATAATTGTGCCATGCGGACATACATCTAACTTCCGTGCGTACGCCTCCGTACCCGTAGTAACTACGGGGTTTTATGGTACTCCTCCTAAAAACCTCGGCTGCGGCTTCTCTTTGCCTAAGATCGTGACTCCCTCTGTGGACTCTCTCTCGCTGTGACTCTTCTGGAGTCGTGCAATAGTCGGGAGAACAATAGTCTTGGAGTCCGGAGAACAACCGAGATCTTGGCCGGGCTGAGCATGGCTGAGGTCCGGTCACGGAACAATGTCAAGGTCCCTGAGTGTCTCCCCCTGGGAAGCAGTCGAGTCAGGGCGGTCGTTTCACCGCTATACGTGTCCTATTTGAGGCACCGAGTGATATGAGAGCTTGGAGGTGCGGTAGTCTAGTCGTCCCTTTTGTCAATATTTAAGATGTCACTGGATTGAGTGAGAGTGTTGAATTTTATATCTGTTGTTATATTGTTAGAATGCTGGATTCGTGTATAAATCAATGAATGAAAGACGGTGTTTGGTATGCGTGAAGAGTGGAAGAATGAAGATAGTTAGATTATATTAGTTTGTTCGTAATGGTGGACGTTGCACCAGCTTTGAAAATAAAAACGGCACTCAGTATAGTTCAGCGAGAAGATATTCTAGCTCGGTTATGAACAAATATATTTAGGGGAGAACGGGGTCAATTGTAACATTTTTTGCATTTTATCATCTGGTGCAAACACGTTTGCAGCTATAAAGCTCTTTCTTTTATTTTCAGAAACTATGATGTTTTGTCTTTAAAATGCAGTTAAAACATTTCCGAAATAGCTTCTTTTTCGGGTCAAAATTGTTGTTCGAAAAAGTCAATTCAGCTGTTACAATTCGCCCCAGATACGGGGTCAAAAGTAACACCATCCGGGGACAATTGTAACATGTTCATTTACAGGCTACAGCAACACAATTTTTTCCAAAACTTTGATTTAACAAAAGTATTGAACACTTGTTTATCTTCCCAGACTTGGTAGGGACGGTTCTTCTCAGGAAGAAGGCAATAAAACCTCGCACTTATACAGGGGTTGGATGGACCTCCTCTCCCTTGGTTTTTCGCAAATAAATCGCGTAAAAAGCTGCCGATTGCGACAAAACTCACAGTTCTCTTAATTCTAGCAATGTTTCATCTCCCTTGAAAATTTGACGACTTTGACATAATGGCCACTGACCTATAACCTGTTACATTTGACCCCTGCAAAAATGTTACAATTGTCCCCGTCGCGCCTTAACATATTTTAGACGAAACTGGCGCAAAAAGATGTTGCATGTAGGCAGCATTTAATGCTTTCAATTTATCGACAACAAGCCTGCCAACGCTTACACAAAGTCTGAAGTCGATATCTTTTCAATGGCGGGAATGAGCTAATCAAATATAACGGCATAAAAATCTACAAAATGCTCTCAAAAACACATTACTGTGCACAGCCATCGACATACCCGGCACTTTCGCTTCAAACTCCGTTGGGAAAGGCAGTATAGAATTACGCATTTTCGGTCTGAACATCAGCTCATTCTATTGGTAAGTTTATGAATTATTAACACTGTTACAATTGCCCCGTGTTACATTTGACCCCGCTCTCCCCTACATAATAATATTTTTTGGAGGCGTGAAACGTTTTTGCAGATGGTACAATCAATTGACAAAGCTATACCGATGATAATGATAAAAGCAACGCCACCTAACATTTGACAATAACTTGAAATACAATTTAAAGGGTTGCGTGATTACATTTAACTTTCTGAAGCGCAACACAGCTCAATTTATTTTCAACTGTCCTGTTAATAACTCAATTAGCGTTGCTTTTTGCACCACCTCAACACAGACGTCTTTTTTAAAACTGCCATAGCCATATCCTCCTCATGCCCATAATGAAGCGCTCTGGCGAAATGGAGCGTTGGGTTCACCCTTGCCAGGAACCATTAACTCCTGCAGAAGTCTTTGTGGGTATGTACAAGGCGCGGCAAGCTGGTTGGAGGAGCGTAAGACTGAACACTGGGAAGGGGTGCGTGGGGATCGTAAAAACGGTCACGTCTGGTAAGCAGCTCACCTTGCGTGGTGCGCCATGAACGTCGCGGCGCAAAAACAGCCGCAGAAAGTCGAAAGAGCTCAACACGGACTAGTCGACAGTTCGAACTGAGGCTCAGAGAATCGGCAGCTGAATTATCCTCAACGGGCGCTGGGCTGGAGCACATCAGTAAGGAGCAAAGCAGAATCGTCATTTCTATTTGTGCTAGTTGGATGGTGAATCTGGAGCTTATAATTATTCAATTAATGACAATACAGTGGTGAGCGAGAATTAAGTGCTTGCGAGACACTGAGAGTAATGCATCCATGATTAGAAGACGGATTGTTCTTTCGGTAAGCCAATTTCAAGAGCATAAATAATGAAAACATCACAACCAACAGATACCTTAACTACGCTACTTCATGTACAGTCTGTCTTAAAAGTACCGCGCAAAGTGACGGCAGATCCATCAAGCCTGACCAAGGAAGGGCCTGCTAAAGTTGAGTCACCGAAGCAATTGACATCCTCATCCATTCCCAAGTCAATTGGTTCGGTGACTTTCAAATTATAGCAGGCCCCACCTAGGTTAGGCTTGATGGATCCACCGTCACTTTGCGCGGTACTTTTAAGACAGACTGTACCTGTATGCTCGAAGTCCGAGCTCTTCAACTCAGATTAATATGTATATGTGTATTGTATAACGACACTTAACAATATTATTGCATTAACCCTCGCCCATGTAGGGGGGGTTGGTGCAACCCCCCCCCCCTGAGGTTTTTCGGAAATAGTGCAAAAACGGCGGCGCGCAGCGCCGCCAAATCTTGGGTACCTTATGGGGCAAACCTTGCGCATCTTTTGATAAAAAAAAATTTGACCGGGTTATGTCAGGTCACGGAGTTATGACGTCACAAAGGGAACAGCCTCCGGCCGGATTTTCACAAACTGAGTGCCAACGCCCGAGGTTTCCTGCCGGTGGTACGGACATCGGTTGATGGATCGTGATGAAACTTCCCATGCATGTTGGGGCAAGTATTGTCTATCATATGGTATAAGAAACTTGACCGGGTCAGGTCAGGTCACGGAGCTATGACGTCACAAGAGGAACAGCGTCCGGTTCTATTTTTGAAAAGCGCCCGAAACACTATTTTGCAAATTCTTGTCACCTCAATGGGAATATGCAGCAATATTAGCTTCTATAGGGAGCAAATGGACCTCCCAAATCCAAAAATACAATCAGATTTCAAAAATTTAAATTTTGATTTTTCGAATTTCAGCCGCCGACTGTGACCTTGCCGACTTCCGGCGCTCCCAACGCGCCATTTTTAGAGCTAGGGAAACGAAATACATACCAAACGATAGAGAATTGATCAAGGAACACGATAGTGAAGGTTTCAAGTCGATATCTCCCACCGTTTTGCCGCAATCGCCGCGGAAAGTTGAAAAAAGTCTATTTTTCCGAAAATTTGATCTTTGACCGGTCAAAAGTAGGTCAAATGTTGACCTAGGACCAAAAAATATACCACCAATCGCGAGATCTCGGCGAGAGCAATCCGTTGGTCTTTTCCGCTAAGCTCTACGACGCTCCGTTTTCAAACGCCAAGGGGGGGGTCGCACCACCCCCCCCCCTGCATGGGCGAAGGTGGCAGATCGCCGTTTACGGGCGAGGGTTAAAAGTATGACCTTATGCCCATGTTTTGATTTTAACCTGAGCATATGGTCATTTATCAGCACAATAATATTCATAATAGCCGTTTTCACGACGGTCATCTGGTACACATTTGGTGTACATTAGGTGCAGATTTGGTCAAATTAGATTCAGTGTGTTTCATAAAAGTAAGCAGTTTTGGTTGCGCAGATGCTCACATACCTAATTTTTTCAAATTATAAGACATAGTTTTCGAACACTGAAATAAATTCATGATGTGAAAATATTTATTGTAAAAGAGATTTGGTGTCTATTTGGTCAAATTAGGTGCATTCGCCAGATAGCCCGTCGTGAAACTGCTAATGATGCTCAAACACGCCATCGCTTACATCCTACGACTCGAGAAAGACTTATACCTACCAGCCTTGCTTACCAGTAAAACCGGCCCCCGGTCAACAGACATGGTAGCCCAAATCTAGTTGGATATGAAAATTCTTCTAAATTCATAGACTTTAACCCGGCAGGCGGTGGGCCTACCAGCCACCTTCCGCGCGGTGGGGGGGGGGGGGGCACTTTTTTGCCCCCCCCCGTATCTCCGAAACTACTGGACGGATCCGGAAAATTCAAACGGCGTTCGATAGCCCTGTCAAATTTGTCGAAGGAAACCAAATTTCATTGACCTCGGTGTCACGGATGACGTCACAGGTCAGGTCAAAGATAAAATGTTTCACCGTTCACGGGGCTTCTAGGGAAAGCGCTATAACACCGAGAAAAACGCATTTTGTCGAAAATCAGCGATAAGGCGTCAGTTGTCTAGTACATATGCTGCTATTAGAGGTCACTGGTCATACCAGGTCAGGTCACAGGTCAGGTCACCAAAGGTCACCAAGGGTCACCACATGAGCCCAACTTTACTAAGGTTATGCGATGCATGTTTTATGGCCAGTTTTTCATTTCCAACTCAATGGTGTTGGTTATAAGACCATCAGGTACGGTTTAGGTCACTTTCTGGTGGAGGTCAGGTCAAGGTCAGGTCAAAAAAGGTCAAATTTCAAAGTTGATATTTTTGCATAAAATGGGGATCGATTCGATGCAGCTCGTCACGGGGAGTCTAATGGTGGTCTTTGTTTTGCGCTACGAGGTCTAGAATCGCTAAAAATTGAGTTTGAAAATTTGACGTCATCAATTTTGAACAGTTTTTTCGCTATAACTTGGCCAAAAAAGAGGTATCGATCTCAAATTTGGTATGTAGATAGAAGGCGGTAGGGGCTATCACATATATTCCGGTTTTTTCGAAATTCAAAAAACTTTTTGGATTTTTTGGCTATAATATTAAAAAAATCTATTTTTTGATTTTTGGGGGTCAAAATCCAAAAAATTCGAAAAACCGAAATAGCAGTTTTGTAGCCCTTTTAATTCCACACCTTTTATGTCTAAAATATTTTTCTGTATCTCTAAAGCTGTAGGCCTGACAGCTCTTCCCGCGAAACCTTTTTTTGGGTCGAAAATGGCAAAAATGACGTCACTCTGACGTCATTAGCGGCCAACCTATCATAGCCTTTGGAAAAATTTTTGGTCACCATGTGCGCTAGCTGCTCCCGGGAGGGTACTGGAAGTTTGGTGACGATCGGCGCAGCGGTTCTCGAGATATATCGAAAAAACTAAAGGGGGGGGGGGGCAAAAAAATGCCCCCCCCCCACCGCCTGGAAGGTTAATGCTAAATTGACTATATTTGAGAGGGCTTTATGAAGATACATGACCGGATACAGAAAAAAGCGAGATGCTATCTTGTAGAATAAATCGTCTACTATCTGCGACTTTTGAAGTGTTTTTCA